GAGCCTGCTTCCCCCTCTCTCTCTGCCTGCTGCTCTGCCTGCTTGTGATCTCTCTCTGTCAAATAAATAAACAAAATCTTTAAAAAAAAATGGCTATCTTTATCCACCACTATGAGTTAATTCCTTTATAATCTTGGTGTAGAAAAAGGCTTGCTGTTACTTAAAATACAGAAGCAGTAAAACAAAAGACTGATAAATTTCACTATAATAAATTCTTAGATAATAAAAAATCCTATAAATAAAAGTTTGTCAAGAAGAAACTGGGAGAAAATATTCACAATATATACCACATAAAAAGGACAATATATTTTTTTTTAAAGATTTTATTTATTTATTTGACAGAGACTCAATCCCAGGACCCTGAGATCATGACCTGAGCCGAAGGCAGCAGCTTAACCCACTGAGCCACCCAGGCGCCCAAAAAGGACAATATTTTTAATATTTAAACAGCTCTTAAAATTTGAGGGACAAAAGGTTTTCTGGTTGTGTCACCATGTGGTGAGGAGTTCTTGTCTACATTGGCAGCTGTGCAGTCCAAGGGCCTTCTGCAGTCTCTGCAGGTCCTTGGACACAAGCAGATGGCCACAGCTGTGGTAGCAGATGGGGCAGCAGCCTTATCCAGGTGAATGGGCAGCCCCTGGAGATGATCCAGCAATGCACACAGCAGTACAAGGTTCTGGAATCTGTTCTGCTTCTGGGCAGGGAATGATTTCTTGGGGTGGGCATCTGAGTCTGTGTGAAGGGTAGTGGTCATATGACCCAGATTTGCACAATCTGCTAGCACAACTCCAAAGCCCTGGGGTCCTTATTATCAGAAATACATTGATGAGACTTCCAAGAAGGAGCTCAAAGCCATTTTCATTCAGTATGACCAAACCCTGCTGGGGGAAGCTGATCCCTGTTTCAGTGACTTCAAAAAGTTTGGGGACCCTGGTGCTCATACTTGCTACCAGAAATTCTATTGATAAGTCCGTCATGAAGCCTGGAGTTCACCTTGATAATAAACAGTGGTTTTGAGATTTTCAAAACAAAAAATTTGAGGGCAAAGTTACAAAAGTCTGATATAATGGGAATCAGATATGAAGAGACAACTCACAAAAAAATAAGACATAGTAATGGCCTAAAATATATGGAAAAAAGTTCAAATTTACTCATAATTAAAGAAATGCAAATTAAAATAATACCTATTAATGGCAAAAACTTTAAAATATGACAATATACTTTGTTGGTGAAGCTGTGGAGAAATGGCACTCTCATACATTGCTGGTGAAAATGTGAATTGTTATAGCCCTTCCAAAGGGAAATGTGGCAATACTTAAAAATATTGTATATGGGGGCACCGGGGTGGCTCCTTGGGTTAAGCCTCCACCTTCAGCTCAGGTCATGGTCTCAGGGTCCTGGGATCGAGCCTCGCATTGGGCTCTCTGCTCAGCAGGGAGCCTGCTTCCCCCTACCTCTCTGCCTGCCTCTCTGCCTACTTGCGATCTCTCTCTCTGTGTCAAATGAATAAAATCTTTAAAAAAAATATTATATATATATATATATATATATATATATATATATTTTTACTTTTTGACCCAGCAAAACCATTTCTGGGACTCTACCATTTAGATACACCTCTAACAATATAAAAATACATACACACAGATATTCACTACCACAGTGTAATATAATGTAATTGCGAAATATTGGAAACTGTTTAAATGTCCATACATAGAAAGTGATTAAAATGTGATATATCCATTCAGTAGAGTAATGGGGCTGTGTTGAAAAAGAAAGAATGAGAATGGTCTGTATCAACAAATATGGAGTGTTTCTGAGATAATATACTGTTAAATGACAAAAATAAAACACAAGAGTATAGTATATGGTCTTCTGTGTAAGAAAGAAAGAGATATGAGACAGTACATGTGTATCTGCTTGTTTTTGTAGAATCAATATTGGGAGGATAAAATGGAAACCAAAGTGATTATTGGTAATCTACAGGGGGTAGGTGGGAAAGGAGTGCCAAAAAGTGAGGATATGGGAACTAGTGAGGAAGGAGTGACATTAGAGGGGATGGGGAAGAAAAGAACTTTATTCCAAGTTGTTTTGGAAAATAACATCTTGATTGGATACTGTAATGGTAAAGATAAAAAGAATTGCACATTAATGCTGTAATATAGTCAGTAAATATATTTGTCACAAGGGCATAGATTAACAATTCTGTGTGTACTCTAACTGAACAAATAGGCAAATATGTTTTAGACAACAAAAACTGGGTTTCTCACAAGTAGAGAAAGGAGAAGGCTAAAATGAACTCTGGTGGGTTGGTTTGGAATCTGAGATATTATATGTATTGGTTACTATGCATGTTTCTTAGCTGTTTCCACTGAGAGTGACTAATGAACAAACCTAGGTTCCAGTTTTTTATTTCTGATTCTCCATTTCTTAGAGAAGTGGTTGGTAAAGGTGCCTGGAACATCTTGATGTATGCCAGGTAACAAAATGCTTAAAGAAAAAAAATGGGGGGATAGTGTGAAAGAACTTGAGAACCATACTGAAAGAGTTCTAATGGCCAGAGCTGGAGCAATTTTAGCAAAAGAAATAATGAAATCATTGGATTATAACCCATGGAATAATAAAGTAAATATCCATGAGTCCATACTGATATAGATATAAATGGGGAAATGAGCAGTTTTCACTTATAGTAAGTTCCAGTTAATAACTGTGGAAGGTTGGATGGATTGAGGGAAGTAGAAAATAAGCATTAGCTAAACACAGTAATAATTGTTGCAGACAAGATCCACCAATTGATTCTAAAATTAGTGAGTGAAAATTTGAGGAAAAGTATAGATTCAAAGTATGTTCTCCAAGATCTTCATTAATCACAAAGACAAAGATAGTAATTTTAATGGGATGAAGCCTGCCAAAATTTATCTTAGTCAGTGATCAAGGTGAACATCACAATAACAAAACATATTCACATCTTGAAACCTATGATAAAGGATGCATCATTTCTTTGTATTCTTGCCAAAAATGTATAACCTTAGTTCAGTCATTAGAAAACATTAGCCAGGGTGCCTGGGTGGCTCAGTGGGTTAAGCCTCTGCCTTCGGCTCAGGTCATGATCTCAGGGTCCTGGGATCAAGGCCCGCATCGGGCTCTCTGCTCAGCGGGGAGCCTGCTTTCTCCTCTCTCTCTATGCCTGCCTCTCTGCCTACTTGTGATCTCTCTCTCTCTGTTTCAAATAAATAAATAAAATCTTTAAAAAAAAAAAGAAAAGAAAAGAAAACATTAGCCAAACCCAAATGAAATGTATTTGACAAGGTAAAGCAATCAGTACTCTTCAAGAGTCAAGGTCATGAAAATTAGGGAATACCAAGGCATTGTCAGAGATTGGAGGAAACTAAGGAAATGTGACAACTAAATATAATGTGGGAGTTTTTTTCTTTTACAATGGCCTGTTCTTGCTTAGTGAAATCTATTTCTTTATTTTCTCTTTGAACATTAAAGGCATGCTTTAAAATGTCATACTTTTTTCTTAAAATGTCTCTGTTTCAGATTGTTCCATTATTTGTATGTAGTTCTGAGATACGAATTCTGTTAACGTGCCCCTTCACCACTGTGGGTTTTTTTTTTACTGTTTCCTACTTTTTTGCACTTGGGAAATTCTCTTTTGCTTTTGGATTTAGCTCTGTATTAAAACAAGTTTTGTTTTTTGGTTATATCTCAAGTAGTGTGTTAGAAGTGGAAGAGGTGGCTTCTTGCATTAATTAAACCTACTAATATAGTAGTATATGATGGGAAACCTCTCTCCCTATTCCTGTTTCCTTTATGAATAATAGGGTAATTGCTTTCAGTGACCTAGGGGCTGAAATAAAGCTGCTCACCTTCCTAATATTTATCTTACAATTGCAATATATATATATATATATCTAGATATATATATATATATATATTTGTAACAATATATTATGGTTGAGGTCAGAATTTTTTTTTCTGCTTTTGTAAAGAAGATTATCAGCTTATTTCAAACAGTTTAGAACTCAAGTGGTGGTAGAAAGAAATATAATTCTTTTCCACTTTATTGTCTTGGAAGCATAGGGGAGGAAAAAGGCAGAAAAGTTACTATTGGAGTAATATATACTTAAAAGGGGCTAGAATTAAAGCTGCTGAAAAGAAAAACTTCCCCTTCCTACCCCAAGATTTCTCCCAAACATTGTCCAGATTGGAATTTTGCTGAATTAATCCCTCTAACTCTCTCCCTCTCCTTTTTAACCTTTGGTAGGTTTAGGGCACATGTATGTTATGGTTGTAGTTTTAAAAAAGTCCACTGGACAGTGGACCCTAGGGCCATTAGAATACATGAATGCCAGGAGAAAATGGAAAACAGTTCTTTCATATACCTGAAATATTATTTTCATTCATTTCCACCAAAATTAACTATGAAGCCCAAAAAAGTGAACTAGGCAAAAGAAGAAAAATTCCATAGTAAATAAGGATTTAGAAAATATAAAGAACTTGTGAAGTAGCAGTCATTCAGATCATGTGAAATGGGGGAAAGGAAAACCTATGAATACTTCTGTCAGAAAACATCAGAAGCAGGTATTTATCAAGCCATTATGGGAGAAGTTTTTTCCAAGCATTAAATTGATCTGAGATCTTAATTTGATAGTACTGAAAAAATTGTGTGGCAGGCCTAAGTTCCTAGATTTAAAAGCAGAACTCATATTTTAGTTCAGAAGTATTTCTTTTATGGTGATGCTTATAAAATCACTGGAAATTGTATTCCTACTGTAAAGTCATCTGCCTGATAAAAACTGATGGCAGCAGAACACAGTGATGAAAACATGTATCCTTCAGATGAAATTGCTGATATTTGACTAGTTGAAACTTGACCATGATTGATAAAGTTGATGTCAGGTCTATTTTCAGTTGTGTTGTTTAGTATTCATAATGATATTATGGTCTTCGGTTTTCTTTGATGGCTGAATTTTTATTTTTTATTTCCTCCACAGAAGTGAACAGTACCATATCTTTGAAAGATTTGCGAATACTATTTTTATATGAATTTAAACTAGGACACAGTGCAGCCACAGCAAGTAGAAACATCAATTCTGTCTTCGGAAAAGGCTCTGTTAGTGAAAGGACTATCCGGTGGTGGTTCGAAAAATTTCGTTCTGGGGATCTGAGTCTGAAAAATGAGCCTCGAGGGAGACCCAAATCTGTTTTAAATGAAGATCAGTTGAGAGCCATGGTGGAAGCTAATCCCAAAACAGCAATTCGAGGCCTCGCAGCAGACTTAGGAGTTTCTGCTACAACAATTTCTCGACACCTGGCTGCAATAGGAAAGGTGAAAAAGTTGGACAAATGGGTAGGTAACACCAACTGATGGATGATCACAAACTGAGATGATTAGAGATGTGCTCATACCTTAAGATTTTAAAGAGCAGAGACCTATTTTAGAGAATATCATAAACTTTGACAAAAAATGAAAATGGTCTGGATGATGGTTGGATGTTGGAGAAATTACCAAGTGTGTTAAAACCATCATTGCAACCAAAAAGAAGGTTCTGGTAACTGTATGGTGGTCTGCAAAGAGAGTATTTCATTTCTTTTAACTCAGGCAAAACTAACAGTAGCATCTTATTGTAAAGAAGTTGAAATTATGTATCATTTGTCATCATTTGAAACTCCAAAAAACAGAGCATTCTCTAATAGAGAACAGTAATGGAAGGATTTGAATAAATTTTAACAATGCTGAATTTTAAATATATTTGGAGAAATTTATCATTGGGGAAAAGCAGTTAATGCTAATAGTGTATATTTTGGTTGAATAAAATTTTTTTCTTTTTCTGAAAAACACAACATTTTCATTTTTATATAAAGGCAGTTTCATATGGCTCAACTTAATACCTTCCCAGACCCTGGCAGAACATGAAGACTGAAAGATACCTAATATACTAGAAAACTACAGGCTGCCCCTGAGTTTTGAGCTTCTTCATTGGAGGAATGTGGAACAACCCAGAGTGTATGTGTGTGTGAAAGATGCTTAGGACTCAGCCATGCAAAAATCTGGGTAAAGAGGATTTTAGGGGAATAAGCAAAAGCTCTCAGGCTTTCGGAAGATATTTTTTGAATAAAGAAGTGAAAGCATGTTTCTGATACAAGAGCCGTGCACACAGAAGACATGGCATACTGGTGCTTTTGAGTGATAATACTTATTCTGTCACACAAAGCCAGTCCTTCGTCCATGATTCTTTATTTAAAAAAAAAATGTAAGTGGCCTATCAGAGACCATAATTAATGGCCTTTTTATGATTATGTAGCTAGATTGCAGTTCTGGCATTCATGGATTAAGTTGGGGTAAAGATACTGGGTTGGTTCTCTTCCTGCTTCTCTCCCTTCTGATGATCTACTGTGTCTAATCTGTGAAGGATAGCTAAGGAATCCTAAAAGCTAAGAGGTGAGAAAAAGGCATCTGGAATGGATTTTACTTGAGAGACATATAGGGAAGGAGGGAGGGCAAGGAATGGAGGGAAAGATGGAATGGAAATCCCCTAAAGTAGAATTTGACTGTGAGCCAAAGAATTAAAGGCCACGGGATGCATTATTGCAAATTAAAAAAAAAAAAAAAAAGTCCCTTCCTTTGGGTAGAAGCAGCCCAAGTACTATGACACAAAGCTTTGTGAGCAGAGTGTTTTTGTCTTTCAGCTCTAATTTACTCCCCTGGCTGGGTGCCCTGATCTGTGGAGTCACCTGCTGATTTTACTGCTCCATCCTTGGGTAGTCAAGGAATCTAGTCAATGTTTTTGTGAATTCCTTCTCAAGAATGAAGAATGAATCAAGAATGAAGCCTGAGACTTAGCTCAGACTGATAGGGTAACAAGACTAAAACCAGAGGTGATGTCAAATGGTCACAGAAGGTTGGCCAATGTGGAAGAAAGTGGTGTTGTATAGTTACTTTGTCTGGGTAGTAGTTGCTTTGTGGCCATCCATCCTTCCCTCACTTCTCAGACCTCTCGTTAGACTTCCAGAGCTGGATGATGGACTTTGGTTTAAAATAGTCAGCAGTGGGGCACCTGGGTGGCTCAGTGGGTTAAAGCTTCTGCCTTCAGCTCGGTCATGATCCCAGGGTCCTGGGATCTAGCCTGCATCGGGCTCTCTGCTCAGCAGGGAGCCTGCTTCCTCCTCTCTCTGCCTGCTTTTCTGCCTACTTGTGATCTCTGTCTGTCAAATAAATAAAATCTTAAAAAAAAAAAAAAAAGTCAGCAGATATCTCTGTTCACTCCAAATGAGTGGTTTCTTCCAAGAAGAGCCAGTGAAATGTGATGAGAGAGGGAAAGGAGCAGTTATAGGATGTTGAATTATCCTATCAATTATCCTTACCCCCTCCAACAAGGGGTGTAGACTTGAGAGGCAGAAATGAACCCTTGTTCATTGTGAGCAAACACGGAATGAGTTGTGCCTGAACTACTATTAGTGTATTTTGGTTATGTGAGATAGTAAATACCCTTTAGCGCTCCAAAAACAAAGCTTTCAAAAGCTCCTTGGTTGAGTGTTGAAAGAAAGGAGTGGAGGTGGAGGTTGCTACATCTCATCTTCCCACCATGTCCCTTAGGTAGCTTGGGTCCTGACTGCAAAAGTAGTAAGAAGTGGCAGAGCACCTGGGTGGCTCAGTGAGGTAAGCCTGTTTTTGGCTCAGGTCATGATCCTAGGGCCCTGGGATGGAGCCCCAAGTCAGACTCTCTGCTCCGCGGGGAGCCTGCTTCCCTCCCTCTCTGCCCTTCTGCCTCTCTGCCTACTTGTGATCTCTGTCTGTCAAATAAATAAATTAACAACAACCAAAAAAAGGAGTAAGTAGTGGCTTTCAGGGGCATCTGGCTGGCTCAGTCAGTAAAGCATGCAACTCTTGATCTTGTTGTAATGAGTTAGAGCCCCATACTGGGGTAGAGTTTACTTAAAAACAAAACAAAAAAGTGACTTTGAATTTTGGTTTATTATATACATAATAGCTGTTATTAAAGAACTTCCTACCTTGATCTAATTGCTTAAGTGAGACTAGAGCACCTATAGCCACTTTAATAGTATGCGTGAAAGATCTTGGGCACAGAGATAGCGTCCAAAGCCAGTGGAAAGTGGACTCTTTTAGGACCTGTCAGTGTGTTGGACTCTGTCTTCCTCTTTCTGTTGGTGCTTTTGCCACAGTAGCCTCCTTTCACTTCCTTTGACCTCAGTTAATTTGTTCATGCTGCTTACTGGTCTTCATGTCATTAACTCTGCCTGTCACACACATTTCCTTCAGGACGTCTTACCTGATTACCCCACCATACCGTAGGTCAGGTCCCTTGTCATGGCCTTCGGACTCCAGGATGGTTCCTTCATAACTATAACCACAGTAGTTATATGTTTATTTGTGTGATAGTATGTGTTTGTCATCTTCTGTGCTAGATTATAAAATTCACAACAGCGGGGACTTTTTTGCTCGCAAGATCATACCCCTATCAAGAGCACAAGGTCCAGCTCATGGTAAGTACCTAGTAAATGTTTGTTGAATGAATGAATAAGTGTTAGGGCCAGTCTCATCCACTTTGTAGAAAACCGTTGTTTTGGTATCAGTTTAAGTAAGGAATATGTTGATAGCAGATCATTGAAAACCTAACGAACCGTGGCTTAAATAAGTAGATTTTGTTTACTGTAACTTACAAAAATTTTCAGACATACAAAATACCCAAATTTTACAGTGAACACCTGTATGCCAACCACCTAGATTGTACCATTTGACATTTCACTCTGCTTTATCACTTATCTACTCATGTAGCTATCCTTTTTAAAAAATGCACTGTAATGTAAAGTAGTAGGCATTAGCACATTTTACCCTAAATACTTCAACATACCTATCACTACCTAGAGTTCAATATTGCCTTCAGGCTCTTGTTCTTGTAAATTTAAATTTAATAAAATGTCCAAATCTTAATTGTACTGTTTAGTATGTTTTGATAAATGCAAATATTTGTGTAACACAAACCCCTATGAAGATACAGACTATTACTGTCAGCCCAGAAAGTTCTTTGATACCTTTTCATTTTATCCCCACTCTTACCCCTAAAGGCAAACACTGCTCTGATTTTTTCCTACCATGAAATAGTTTTGGCTGTTCTAGAACTACACATAAACCGAATTGTATAGTATGTGCTCTTTTGTGTAAGGCTTCTTTTACTAAGCATCATGTTTTTGAAATTAATCCATTTTGTTGTATGTACCAATATTTCATTCCTTTTAAAAGCTGACTAGTATTCCATGAAATGAATATAACAATTTTTCTATTTACCTCTTTGAAACATTTGTGGAAATTTTTTCACAGTTTGATCTTATTATAAATAAAGCTGTTGTGAATATTCTTGCACAAGTCTTTTTGTGGACATTTGTTTTCATTTCTCTTGGATAAATACCTAAGATTGTCAATACCGGGTCATAGGCTATGTGTATATTTAGTTTTCTAGACCTTTTCCCAAAGAGATTACACCATTTTATACCCACTCCCCCCCAACATTTGATGTTATTCTTCTTATCTATTCTGGTGGGGGTGGAGCTGTCTTATTTTGAACTATTTTCCCTCTCACATTATAAGGAATCTAGGAAGACAGGCCATAACTGGGGTAGTTACTTAACAATGCAGTCAGGGACCCAGGCACTTCCTAGCTTTTTTTTTTTTTTAAAGATTTTATTTATTTATTTGACAGAGATCACAAGTAGGCAGAGAGAGAGAGAGAGGGAAGCAGGCTCCCTGCTGAGCAGAGAGCCCGATGCGGGACTCGATCCCAGGACCCTGGGATCATGACCTGAGCCAAAGGCAGAGGCTTTAACCTACTGAGCCACCCAGGCGCCCCACTTCCTAGCTTTTTGTTCATCCTTAGTGGATTGATCATAGTTCCATGCATGACATCTGGGGTAGACAGCCCTGCCTCTTGGTATTCTTGCCCTTGTGTAATCTCCTCTAGTGTGGGCTGAGTTTAGTGACTAGCTTTTTTTTTTTTTTTTTTTAAGATTTATTTGAGGGCACCTGGGTGGCTCACTGGGTTAAGCCTCTTCCTTTGGCTCAGGTCATGATCTTGGGGTCCTGGGATTGAGCCCTGCTTCAGGTCTCTGCTCAGCAGGGAACCTGCTTCCCCCTCCCTTTCTGCCTACTTGTGATCTCTCTGTCTCTTTCTGTCAGATGAGTACATAAAATCTTTTAAAAAAACAAAACAAGATTTATTTGAGAGAGCGTGCAAGCATATGCGTGCAAGGGGGTGTGTCAAGGCAGAGGGAAGGAAATCCTCAAGCAGACTTCCTGCAGAGCACGGAGCCTGACTCCTGTGGGTGGTGGGGGGATCAAAGACTAAGCCAAAATCAAAAGTTGGACACTTAACTGCCTGAGCCACCCAGGCACCTCTAGCTTCTAATGGAATATAGCAGAAGTAAGGGGATGCCACTTCTGAGATTAAGTTATAAAAAGAATGTGGCTTCTTTCATGCATGTTCTTTCTCTTTTTTCTTTTTTTTTTTTTAAGATTTTATTTATTTATTTGACAGAGTTCACAAGTAGGCAGAGAAACAGGAAGTGAGACTGTAGAACCACACCTGGATTTCTCACCCACAGAAAGTGGGATAATAAGTGTTTGCTGTTTTAAGCCACCAAATTTGGTGTAATTTGTTACATAACAGCAGATAACTAGCACGACATCTCATTGTCTCATGTCATAAGATGGCTTCTGTACCTTTAGGGTCTCTGGTTCATTACTCCACAGATAGTAAGAAAAAGTGTGAAAGGCAAAGCACAAAAAGTGCAAAAGGCAAAAGACAAAGTTTTTTGACATTAATCTGTTCATTTTTATCAAGAACTCAGAACCTTTCCAAAAAATCCCACTCAGCAGACAGGTTTATATCTAATAGGCCAGAGATAACACCACATATATGATCATGGCCATGATCTTCTAGTCTTAGCTAGAAGGTGGCTAGAGAGAAAGGGGGACCTAGATGGAGTTTACATCAACCAACTCTCAGTCTCTGGCACATGAACCATTTCAGAAACCCCATAAAGTTAAAGACCTCTTCCTTGGGTGCCTGGGTGGCTCAGTGGGTTAAAGCCTCTGCCTTCAGCTCGGGTCATGATCCCAGGGTCCTGGGTTTGAGCCCCACATCGGGCTCTCTGCTCCGCGAGGAGCCTGCTTCCTCCTCTCTCTCTCTCTGCCTGCCTCTCTGCCTACTTGTGATCTCTGTCAAATAAATAAATTAAAAAAAAAAAAAGACCTCTTCCTTAACACCTACGCCAGCCAAGTGGCCTTTTGAGGAAATTTCCAGAAAACGGACCTATTCAAATGAAACTTTCAGAAAACTCCTCAGGGTCTGGATTGCAGGGCTTAGATTTCTGATTTATGCCCCACACCATTCTTGGAAAGCTGCAGCACTATCTTCCACTGTTACTTCTATTCCTCCAGTCCTTTACTGTAGAAACTTCAGAGTCATCCTGGAAATATCTCTGATCACTCCCTGCCCCAGCAAAATGGCTCCTCAAGCTCTAATACTATGGACTTCATTCTTTTTTTAATCCTTCCCCTCTCCTCCTTTACTGACTTTTTCTTTTTTTTAAGATTTCAT